TTTAGATTCAATATCATTTTGGAAATTATACTAATTATTGTATTTTATCTACCAAATGTTTAATTGCTGGAAAACAAAGAGATTATTCATTAAATGATTAACATTTCAATCGGAAGCGGAAAATAAATAATTACTTAAATAATTCAATTTTGATAAGTCTGTTTTTTTAACAGAAATGTGAAATAATGTTAAAGTTGATTTTAATCAAAATACTTCCGGTTTCTCATAATAATGAGAAAATTTTTTATTAAAATATTAATTAAAAAAATTGACATAAAAACACAAAAACAGTTCTTACAAATTTGTCAAAAAAAGTAAAAGCAAATTTTGACTTGGTAATTTCTGTTTACAAATAGTATATTATGTTATTAAAAGTAAAAGTGATGTGGCGTAGATAAACGGTTATTTTACTCCAAATAACATACACTTTGTTATCCACAAACGTATTCAGATCGCGAATAAAGAGCAACACTATAAATAGTTGGTAAATGAACAAAATACTCAGGACGCTTTGCAAGTAATGAAATCATAACAACATTTATGAACAAACATTACGTATTAGGAGCAAAATTTGTGTTAAGATTTTTGAAAACTAACTAGTGCAGTTAGTAGTACAAAAAAAACAACATTAGTAAATGTCAATAATGGTAAAAGTAAAAATGCTTAGACACAAAAATAGAATTTTTAGTCCAAGGCTGGAAGGCATAACTTTTACTTTGTGACTTTTGTCGTAAAAATGGTAATTTTTGTAACGTTTGCGAAGAAAACATATTATAAAATTACTTAATTTAACTGTTTTATTTTTTTAGGTAGTGATTTTTGTTTATCTTACCTGCTCTGGGTAATTTTCTGTCAGCAAATATGTTATAACATTTTTTTGTTAAATCATAATATTTCTCTACCGTTTTGTTTTTGTATTGCAATTTTATAAAGTGATATTTTCACGCGAGCGATTAGAGTTTTATTTCGAAATGATTGCTTTCATTAGCATATTTTTATTAGCCTCGTTTTTATAAACCTAGTTTAAGTTTTATGTTTTTCCATTTCGAGTGGAAGTTTTGAAAGTCGGTCATAAAGCAGTTCGGTATTCTAGCATCGATGGTGTCACAATTAACCCCAATCGAGTGCTGAAAGCCGAATATAATTGCAATTTGCGCTTTTTAATTAAAAGTACAAATGATAATAGTGGCCGGAACAAAGGGGATATAAAAATTAAAAGAACGGGAAAAAAAGCGACGCTGCGTAATGAATTGGCGGGCTGCATAAAGACGCCTCGTTAATAAACAAGACTTTACCAGTTAATTGGAACTCTTACTTGCCGTCTCTTTGTCGGAGTTTTTGGAGCACGCAATTAGATGACGAATCGAACGAAAAAATGCCACTTTTATGTCCTCTGACCTTTCGAATCGCGTCGACCTCCAGCCGGCTCCCAAATTATTGCAACTATGCCCGTCGGAAATCCAATATCACACATAAACGTGTCTGGATTTGTTTTATTCGAAAATTTTTACGACAGCGATGAAAAGCGGAA